TTTTTTTTAAAGGGGATCAATACTGGTTCCCCAATTCCCCCTCGGGTGACTCGAAATCGGGACATGGTACACGCCGAGCGAAGGTACGCGCCACTGCGCTAACCCCTCTTCGTCATCTAAGTTAATGGTTCATAGTTGCTTTGAATTTTTTTACTGTGAATTTTTGCTTTCGAAATATTGCTTCGAGATTTGTCTTTCATTGATATGCAGAAACCTTGTCGCTTCTTTGAATGGATTGATCAATCATTGCCCGCGTTTCAAAGGACATGCTTCATAAGATTGAAGGCTGAAAAACATGATTTGGAAGAAAAGTTGCGGGACATGGAAAAATTTCACAATCACAGATCGAGTTTGAAAGAGGATGTTGAAGGTGACAAGAATTCTGAAATGATTTTGGTTCTGGAGAAGACCATAACTCAAGTGAAAAACCTTGAAAGCAAAATGAGTGTTTTTATGGTTTCTTTGATTGTTGTTGTTTTAGTTCTTGTTGTGAGTGTGTTTGGTAGAAATGGTCATGTCCATTATCTTAAGATGTTGAACTGAAGTATGTATTTTCTTAGTTTTTTGGTGAATCATGGGGCTATGTTAGGTTGATGTACGTACTGAAATTGGAATCCTCGTATGAAATGTTATTTTGAAGTAATGAATTGATAAACTATCTATTTTATTCATGAGATTGAGCATTTTCTTATGTTAGTTTGAGCGTTATGTTATGTTAGGTTCATAAACTATCTAGCTTTTTTTGTGTAAATTGATCAACTAAATCACAGAAGAATGTAAATGGCTTATGTAAATTCATTTGCAAAACATTATACATCACAAGATCACATGATTCATTATCAAAACCACAAAACACATAGTTGAAATTCCATATCCATAACAAATGTTTCCAAACATCCACAATTGTTCCAAATCCCAAAAACAGCATAACATATCCCTAAGATCAGTTCAACAATACCAAATTTTTTCAAAAGTATCCCAAAGCACCATAACATTACCAAGTCTGTTCTTAGTTCAGATTGTCTGTTCAAAATACCACATCAAACACTAACACATCATCATCAAGTCTCACTCTCTTGAGTGCATATAAAGTCCCCTGCTTGTTGTGATGAAGGTTTGGTATCTCTCCTAATTGACCTTTGACCTCTTCCTCTCCCAGTTGACCCACTCCTCTGACCTCTTCCTATCCCAGAGGAACCACTCATTTGCCCTCTACCTCTAGCAGAGGTTGACCCACTGTGGTGTCCTCTGCTTGAGCCACTGCTTTGACCTCTTTCTCTAGATACCATATGAATATTCTTTCCACTGGACAACTGCATTATAATATTAAAATATTACCTATATGGCTTCTGATAAATTACTTATATTCTTTCAAATAAATGAATTCTTGATAAAAATCATACCTTCATGTAAATATTACCAGTTTCCTCAGACTGCAAGATCCCAAATCCTTTTCTGGCCTGCCAAAGACAAACAAAAAAAAAAATGTTATCATCCAAAATTATTGGTATAAAATAGTACTATAAAACAATTACCAATGCTCTTTCTTTTTGTATCACTGTTGACCGTTGACTGCACCTCCTAACAGGCAATTTGTTTGTCTTTTCTAGAGACCTGGTTGTCATCCTCTGAGCTGATGGTGTTGGTCTAGTCATTCTGTCAAGTGATTCAGTAGGTGTAGTCATGCTCTCAACTGGTGGACTTACCATGGTCTCAGACACCATTGGTTGAACTTGAGTTGGGGGTGGAGGATAAGAACTATTCTTTCTGGGCCTTCCCTTTGATTTCTGTTCATAGAAAAGTAAGGGGGTGATTGTTTATGAGTTGTACAATAATTTTTTTTACTCAAATTCAAATTTAACTCAACTTTAACTCAACTTCACTATCTTCAATATTATTATATAATTAAATAACATCAACAAATCATTATTACATATCACATCAACTTTAATTCACTATTCATCTACTCACATAATTTTAACTAATTTTAACTAACTATCACTTCCAATCATTTT